TTATATCTTCATCATCTCCCGAGTCGCAATCTGTCTTGAAATCGCATTGGGCATAATCGTAAATTATTTTCTTGTCACAAACGAACAGGTTATTGTCTAAGTAAAGTTCAATTAATCAATTATCTAACTCTATTCTTTAAATTAGCAGCAACGGGATTACTAATTGTAAAACGGAGAGATAGATACCTAGATCATTACTAATTTGCATAATATACTCGTAATCTTCGTCACTGCCATCTATGCAATGTTCTTCGCCGTCTGAAAAGTGTTCTTTCAATATGCACTGCCCATTTTTGCAATTGCTTTTAGTTGTAAAGAAAAATTAGCATGTCTTAATTAGGTTTCAATATTTCAAAAAGTTAAAGCTATAGACCTAAAATTTTCTCCTTCGCATATTATTCTTTCTTTAAAATGATAAAAATAACTCAATTAAATGTTAATTAATAAGAAAACGCCTTTGAAAATTATGATTTTGATCTTTTGATAAAACTGTGGGCCTATCTAATCTAAAAAGTTAACACAATTACTACAACATTCCCCAATTGGTGAGAATCTATTTTCAGGCGTTTTCTTTCTCTATTTTTTTAAATTAGGCAAATTAACCGCAATAGTCTTCGTCAGATCCGTCTTTGCAGTCTTTAACATAATTACAAACTTGTGAATAATGAACTCTTTCCAATGAATTAAAACATACAAAAGTATCATTTTCATTAATGTTACAGTTATTTTCATCTTCTTTTGAAGTACAATCGAAAATTCCGTCACATATATAGTTAATTGATATGCAGAATTGATCTATTTTGCATAAAAAACAACCAGCAGGACAGGTAACCACATCTTCTATTGGTAAATAAAAGTTGTTTATCTGTTGATGGACGATTTCTGAAAAGGTGGGAATATTAGAAATATTATTAATGTTTATATATGTGGTTGGGAGAAAATAGCCCAGTAGGTAAGAAAAGTTTAGGGTACGATTTTGGCCATCTCTAGACTTTGGAACATCTTAATTTTAATATTTTCCAATTGGTGTAGGGCTAAGCTACGGATTAGGAAGCATAAAGTGGAAAGAATCTTGTTGATTTGTGAGTTAGGATTAGGGTAAAACACCAAAAAATTGGCCGTTTTCTCCAATACCCGTTTATAAAGTGGTACTTGGGAGTTTATGACAAACGTAATGACTAGTTTTCATATTACAATCTTTTGATTTAAAGTTGGCTTTTGATAATTTATAATAACTTTTGGGAGGAATTGCTGAAAACGACCGCATTTTTGAATTATTTTAGGAAAAGGTTTTTCAATTAGACACGTGTAAAACTAAGGAATTGAAAATAAGTTCGAAAACATGTGGTCGTTTTCAACAACATTGTATTATTTCTATAGTCAAAGAGTAACAGCTTTTAATATGCCAGAATTTGTTTAGTGCTCTCCTCTTTGCAGTTGGGTAACCGTAATAAACCTCAATATAATGTGATAGACTAACACAATCCTGAAAGAAAATATAAACATTAGATTGATTTACTGTTGGCGAAAGATTTTTCATTTTGCCAGGAAAGGTTTGAAATTCTCAGTATGTTGATTTGGAAATAGCAATTCTTTAATAAAATTATCAGCAGTTACTTCAATACTCTTGGTTTTCCTGCCTGATTTCTTGTAAAATTCTAATAATAAAAAGCAAAAGAATATAGTAATATACTTCCAGTGAGTGCTATCTGTCTTATTACTATTATAAAATGAAATAGAGACATCATAGCTCCTCACTATTTTATTCATTGCAGCGGCAATTAATAAAATAACAAATGATCTACTACGAGTTGGAAATTCACTTAAAGTTAGGTTTTTTTCATGGCATATTTCTGCAGTTTCTTCAATTGAGTATCTTATTGGTTCAGCATATACGTAATAGCAGATTTCGTAAATTGATATGGAATTTTCGTCTTTTTTGCAATCGCTTCCTAAAAAAACAAATCAGTTGGAAAAGAAAAAAGAAACAGAGTTGATTTTTCACACTTTCTTTGCCTTTTGAACATTTCAAGTAGAATAAAACATGCCTATGATTCTCTCTGAAAAAATATGAATATTAAAACAATAAATTATTAACACTCTGTATACAAATCACAACGTTTTTGTTAACGGTATCACTTTACATTGCCGTAAATGTGAACTATTGCATTTCATTGAACTGAGTACTATTGTATTAGTTAGGAATATTTGTATTTCAGGCGAATTTTGTAAAGGATTTACTATCGTTCCATAATCGAAATCAAAACTTTTACATATGACTTGAACTTCATGATATGAAATTGTTTTGAAATGAGTCCACATATTGTTAAATATCGTTTGAAATAATCCAGTATATTCACTGTATTCATGTTTATCCCCTTCGAGTAAACTCCCCGCCTCCAACATGTGAAGCTGATATTTAGCATCTTTAAGCGCATATATATATATATATATAAATAAATATACAATATGATATTTTCTAAGGTTTTTATACCTCCCCCTCTTTCATTGCAAATAGGATATGCATAATAGAATTTACCATTTGCAGGCCAAAAAGGTTTATTTAATTTGCATCCTCTAATTTCATTTTTTATAATTTTACAATTTTCAATGAATATCTCAAATGACCTCATGTACTCTGATTCACTATGTAGAAAAGTCAATGTAGATGGTATCAAATTCAACCTTCGACATAATAAATTATTCATAATTATCATGTGATTTTTCTCTAAACTTTTGTAAGAGCTTGCGAATTTAAAAACACATGGAAAGGTAGATTGGAATAAACTTTTTGATGAGCAAGTAAAAGCTGTCAAAGGGGATTTTGATTTTCCGTATGTAAAAGTCTTCTCTTTTGATACTTGAAAATCTAAAAAAAGGAAAATATTGGTATAGTAAGTGAGAAAAAACAATACATTTTCCAAAAGGAATCTAAAACTTGGACGAGTTTATCAAGTTTAGATTAATTGGCTTTGGACTGAAGAAATTACCGTATATTTCATAATAATGACATTTTATTATGGGAAAATGTTCATTTTTATCAGTTAAATGTCGAATTTGAATGGAAGAAAAATTTTTGTCAAAGATTGCAAAAGCAGATTTATTTACAAGATGTTCTGGAATTTCAGTAAATTTGAACTTTATTCTTCCACACAGCGAATTGTTGGTATCATTATATTCATCAGAGTATTTTACCAAATAGAATGAGTTATTTGTATGGAACATCATTGAATATAACACGTCAGCTTCACTCTCTAATGTAAGGAAATCTAAACAAGTATATACATTTTGATACATTGCACTCTAATCTACAAACAAACTTACAATCGCTGTTCTTTTTGGTGCACATCAATTGTACAAAATTCCTATTTTTTGAAGTAATACTGCAATGATAAAAAAAGCCATGTTGTTGATCTTTTAAACGCAATAAAGATTTTAGAGTAGAGCTTACATTTTGCAACATTTTCCACCTTTTATGCGAATGCTTACACCTTTTACATATTTTGTCTCACGGTAAAAACTCACTTCGCCAAAGGCAGAAGAATAATTCAATTTTTGACACAAGCTAGTACCATTCCATAGAATTTTAGTTTTGTAATCCAGAGGAAGTAGGCTATGGTTATGTAATGTCTTTAGTTTACCTATCACGTGTACATTTGTTTCACTTATTATTTGTAGAGAGAGTTGTAAAGATGAAGGTAGCTCCCATTTGACAGCATGTAAACAAGACCAGAAAAACACATATTCTATAATCAACATCGACATACTGAATGAATTGAATTTTTCTAAATAATCATTATCAGTTTCATCTGGTAGAATTGTCTTTTGAAGCAGAACGAAATGCATCCGGTCATATTTTATTACACACATCATCAGATAAATTTTAATTAACTTTCAATTGATTCATACACTTTTATTGCTTTATATATTTTTGATTTTCATTATTTCCAATAAATTTTTAGCATCCTCACATAAAATATCAGATCTATAATAATAATACAATTTTCTTTCCAATGCCTTCTCTGGAACAAAGCTATCATTTCTTTTAAATAGTATTGAAATACAAGACAATTCTTCCTTTTTCTTATTTGTTATCAGCTTTTTTTGAATTGAAGCTATTGTATATTTAGAGGCTATAACAACAGTTTGAGTCATTCTTTCTCTTCAATTGATTATTATGATGAAACATCAACAAAACGGATACGACAAAAAACGTCCCGAAATGCATGGTTTAACCCTAACCCTTAGATGGAACACCCCCAAAAATCCAGAATATCGATTTCAAAAATTTCACTTGGGGACGTTTTCTGTCGGCCCCGAATAAAATAGAGCTTGTCAACTATGTTGCGTAATAACTGTTCTCATTGAAATCATTATTATAGCCAAATTTTTAATCCCTTGCTATGACGTTTGATCAAATGTTCAACAGCTGCGTGACCTATATTTATTGTTTGAGATATCTCAGCTTGGCTTATTATCTCCTATTATCTCTGATTAGTGCAATAACTCTTTCCTTATTTTCATTGTTACTGGCTGTTCTTGGGTGTCCTTACTTATCATCATCATGTATATTTGCTCTTTCTTCTTTTAATTCTCTAACCCACTTCCTTACTGAACCTTCAGTAATGTTGTATAACCAAAGAAAGCTTTCAAATACTTATAACTATCAATTGCAATAACTTGCAGTGATACAAGATAGTGAATAATTACTCCCTACTTTATATCATGATCCAGTTCTTAAAAGACTTTCATGAAACACAAAAAATTGGGTCAGATTAGGATTTGGATCAAATATAAAAGGAATTGGATGAATATCTCTAGATTAGGCTTAATGTAAAACCTGCAAAATAAGCACAATTTTACCCATAACAAAAATATACTCATTATCTTAACTAATTATTCATTAAATATTATTATTCATAAATTTTCCGAATCGTTTAATAATTTAGAGATTCTTCTAGAAATATCTAAGAACATTTATGTAATTTATTAATTTTTATCTGGGTGATGTCAATATGTAAAGTTGAACAAATCTGCTTATATGTCATACTTTTTTCAATATTCATTGTTCAAACCTTCACATAAAAATTGAAGAAGAATTTCTAGCCTCTGCTAAGTGGATTATAGTTATTCACTTTATGGAATATTCATATTGGTGTTTCAATATTTCCTTCAATAAATCACCTAACCAATAGCTTTGCCCTTCAGACAAATTACAGAGAGAAAAGTCTACTGTACAAAGGGATTTTGAACAGCTTTATAATCCTTTGCATATACTTTCCATGCCTTTTCCAAGTTTGTCATTATCGGCTAAATTAATATCCTGTAAATTATGACAATCTTTCAACAGATCACCAAGCTAGTAACCTTGTTGTTTTTTTAATTTGGTATAACTAAAGTCTAGTTTCAAAAGAGTATTAGATGAATGTTTTAAGCCTATACAAATATCCTAAAATACTTCTTGTTCACGGATACGACAGAAAACGTCCACAAATCAGTGCTTTTACCCTAACCCTAACTCAGCCCTTAGCTGTACCTAACATTTCCATTACCCCTAACCCTCAGAACGGACCCTCTCAACTACAAACCAGTTGCTGTTTTCTTTGGCCTAACCATTTCTCAATCCAAATTTTTGTCTTGAAATTTCTCATTTGTGGACGTTTTCTGTCGACCCCCTTGTTCACTGTTGGAGCTTAGATGAACATTTTACTGATTACTGCATTTTTTTAATAGATCAGATAACCAGTGGCTTTGTTTTGGAAGTAAAGACCATCCTTGTAAATTAATATTCAATAGGGATCCAGATGACGATTTTAATTCCTTACATATTTTATCAAATCCCCAACTGAATGTACTAACTAAACTTATGTCAATTTCCCTAATTAAGGGAAAATCAAGTCACATTTAGAAAACTTAATACTCCAAAGAGATTTTGCAGATGCTTTTAATCCATTGCAGATAAATTTCAAGCCATTGTCTAAACATTGATTATCGGGATTATCGGTTACAAACGAAACCTTCATCCACTTCATTTTTACAATCGTATTTCAAGTCGCACAAAAGATTTTTATCAATGCAAAAGGTTTTTATATTATTTTATTAATATTTTTAAATATTAAGTAGTTTCTCATGCTTTTTCCTTTTTTTCTTCATTTGCAGGTTACAAAATGGAAAAGAAACTTTAAGTTATTTGTTTTTAAATATTTGAATTTTCAATTTAAAAACTACTCAACATTTCAAATATTAATAGAAAAACAAATTATGCAATTATACAGAAATGACCGATAGAAGAATGATTAAGTAAAAAATAACTAAATTAATTTCATTGGTTTTTGATGAACCACCTGGAAAATAGAAATAAAGTACTGATTGAAAAATGGATGTATCTGAATTTTTAAAACTTACTAGTTGACTTTGAATATGATACTGTTTTGGTTAATGTATTCCTTTTCTCTTTTACAATATTCCAGGCTGTACATTCATAATCATTTTTACCCTGCCATTCATCTTTAATTACCAGTTTTGAATCTGTTGAAACAATTGTACCATTTTTCTGTAGAAATTTGTGATAATTTTAACACAGATTACATAAAAGAAAAACCAAAATGGCTACCATTCTCCATTCATATTTAGGAATAGGATTTCCTATTGCTGAACAAATGAGTTCATCTTTCTTAATATCCTTTGCTATATTTATATCTCTAACTTTGTCTAAAATTTCGTTTGGATCATTAAATTCAAAATCCATTTTTTAAAAAAAAAATAATTCAATACCTACATTCAACTTTAATTTTCACAGGATTTTTACTTTTAAATAAAAGAAAATTATCATTTCCATCTTTATATAACTTTAATTGACAATAGAAAGCTTCATTATTCATATCCCATGTTGCAATAATAGAACTATTTAACGTAATTAATCCATCAGTATAGGTTATTGTTGAAAATGAGCTTATCTGTCTATCTTTCATCATAACTTCAAAATTGATACTCGATGAACCCCATAAATTAAATTCACAGATAAAATCAAATTTTTCATCTTCAACTTGAACAGTTAAAGGATATTTTACAATTCTTAGATCAGAATCTATTTGAAAATTTCATTTAAAAATGACAGTTAACTTATGAATAAAAAACCCTATTATTTTAAATTACCATATAAGGCTATTGCAGTTGTCTTAGAATCAGCACTATTGTCATCAGTAACTGTTGCATTTATTATAAAACCATCAATCTGTTTTGGATGGAATTTTTGTGTAAACTAAATCTATGTTGCATTAAACATTAACTTACTTTTTTTACATTGTTAACTGTGAATAGATAAGTTGAACTTTCTCCGCTAGGTGTCACCTGCCATCTATTTTTGTAGTAATCAGTAAAATTAGGAGTTTTATAAATTAACTGATTAACATCACTGTAAAGCCTTTCTAATTGAATTCCATTAATTTCTATAATTTAAAAAACAAAATTTTTAAAGCAATTTCTCTCTTTTTTGGTGGAAATTTCAATATTTACTGCTGAGACCGTATCGTATATTCAACGTTTCACCAAGTTTAGCAACAACCCGACTGGGAGCTTGATAAATTTGTACTGAAAATTATGAAATGTCTAATTATCATCATTACAAATTAAAGAACAATTTTTACCTCCAGAAATTTGTGTCACAATATTTAACATTGAAAAAATATAGATAACTTTTTTATTAATATTTCTATCCATCTCTTCTATCAAACTTTCAGCTACAATTATCTTTGACACTACAGCCTGTTCTTAAAGTTAATACATCTATTTGTACTAAACTTTGCGCATGCGCATAAAAGAACCTTTACACTTTTGATTTGTAAGCGGATTATTTTTAAATTTTACGAATTGTACGAATAATATAACAGTCAGAGTAGTCCTAATGTTGTTTATAATGTTTGATGATGTACAATAGAGACCTTCGCACCATTTTAGATTACTTTTGTAAAATACGCCTATTTAAAGATAATGTTATCTGCAAAAAGAGTAATGACTCGATACTGGTATAAAACGCCTTATAATATTATCAAATTTTAGCTTAATTGATAGTAGTAATAATGAAAAAAATGAGTCAATAAATATTCCATTTTCTTGGTGTGACAGTAAAAAAATAGTACACTTTTATATTATAAGCTTTATCTATCTTTTATCTTATATATATATATATATATATATATCTTTCTTATATCTTTAAAGCTTATCTTTTAATCATTAATTTTAACAATGATAATAGTTTTACATGAAGTCTCCTTAGGCCTACACACTTAGAAATGAAGACCTACAAAGACGTTCAGACTTGGTTGCCTCCTTCGAATAATGATATAATATTTGTAGAGGAGAGGTGATCAACTGCAAATTGACAATGCTCAGAAATATCTAGGTTAAAGAGAGAGGGAATGAAATTTTTTTCTTTCAATACAATGAGTAGTTCAAATATTCAAATAATTGCTTTTTCTCTCTTTCTCTTAAATGAGAGCTATTGTTCTCTGGGTAGATTTTTGTATGTAAAAAACCGGAAGTGGACTATGTTATCACTTGAAATTTCTTAACACATACAAACAAGCAGATATTTTCGTGAATTTAATAACTGATTGAAACAAAATAAACATTCAACACTAGTCAATTGTAGCTGGAACAATTCAAAATTAGATGAATGCCTCTAATTCTAAGAAGAAATTTACCGAAATATTTAAAATATAACTTATATCGGAATGTTTTACTTTTCAGGATTGTAGGCCAAGTGGGTTTTTATAGTAACATTCTGTTATTATCTATTCAAATCCGAGAGGAGAGCAAATGAATTAACCTCATCTATGATTGTCCATAGTAGATTAATTTTTAAAGATACCCTTGACCTTTCAAGTTGAATTTTTTTTTCATTTTCACTATTCAAGTATCAATGCTTTTAACAGCTGCAAAATTATTCAATAATTCTTTTCTCTAATTTCCGCTGTTCTTTCACTAGTCAACTGTTTCTTCTCGCATGAGTAACGCCCATGTTTTATGTAATTTAATGACATTCCAACACATAAACATCTGTTAAATCTGCAAAAGCGGCAAGCGAAAATTCAGTCCCTATCTGGATTGTAGAGATGGCGATAAGGTTGATTAAAATCTCTCAATAAGTAGGTCACTACCTAAATATATAATAATATTTACCCCGTAGAAGGACTACCGCAAACAGAACATGGCGGTAGTGTTTCCCAATAGTAGCTGTATTGAATTCAACTAGGTGCACACCAATTTTGAACTTGAAATTAAACTTCAAAATTTTGCCACTTCTAGACGTTTCCTATTTGGCACTTGCTTGGAGTAGTTTTAAATTTATAGTAAAGGCAACAGTAACAACTGACAAAATGTGAATGATTTCTATATTTAAAAATGTTCATTTTACAGTGACAATAAAAGCAAAAGAAAAAGTAAATGTTTATGTTGAAGATGCTACTCTATTCTTTTTGAATAGTTGAAAAAATGAAAGTTTAATTGAAGAATTACCAATAATCGTTATTATTGGATTAAATACAGCTTGAGAAATGATTATGATATCTGATGATCTGACGATTTTAAATGATAAACTTGTTGGTTTTCGATAATATAAAAAATATGTTAAAGAATATAACATCCAAACAGAAGACATTAAAATTAATTGTAGTAAAGTTGCTTTAGAAGACTTTGAAATATTCTTACCTTTCTTTGTCTGTTCTTGAATATGAATTGTGTGTTTTTTAGCCAATTTCAAAACTTTTAAATGAAGAATTAAAGCTCCAAAAATATTTGGCAGAAAGATACATTGATAAATAAAAAAATATTCATTTTCATACACCATAGATCCTTGGCAGATTCCACCTTTTCTATAGCCAAACAATGGAATATATGATGGAAAGAGACACAAGATAAATGTAAGGAGAACGATAAGGATAATAATAAAATATGATTTACAATGAGTAAAATATCTATCATAATGAAAAGGATATTTAATCATAATATATCTATAAATAAAACAAAATAACAAGAATATTTGAGATTCAACATATAAAATAGCTTTTAATAAATAAAATACAACACAAAAAAATGGCATAACCATTTCAAAATTTATGAATAATAATAAATTCGTTTCTGCAACATTCCAGATTAACGTAAACAAGTCTGCAACAGTTATAGCTGGAATAAATATTATTACTGTTTTCGTAATATTTCCATCTTTCAAAATTAAAAATAGTACCAGACTATTTAATATAGTTCCAAAACTGAACAGACAGTAATAGATTGTTGCTAAAACTAGTTCAAAATTTTCATTTTCAAACAAAGTGGTATTATTCATATTTGTTATTAGAGAGAGAGACAGAGAGAGAGTGAGAGACGGAGAGAAATTAATTTATTCCTATAATAATAATGCAGATATTATTCATATACATGATTTTACTTAATGGAAGTCATCTCTTTTCTCTCTGCATCTTTCATAAATGCTCTGTAAATTTATGTTTCCATTGTTGAAACTTTCAACTAAACTGCTGCTCATTTATGGATATTTATGCAATTTTAGCCTTTCTATTTTTAATTAAACATTCATGTGCCATCAATCAGACAGGTAATATGGAAAGTCATTAAAAGTAGGTGCACAAAATATAGAAATATCCCTTCCAATTAGTCAATCAATTAGAAAATGTTAATACTGCAATAATTATCATGCAGATGGTGTTAAGAACAATGACTATATAAACTAATCAGTTCATTTTTTCTACTGGCAGGTTAAATAGTTGATACTTGCACTTTCCAAGTCTTTCAGAGAGAATAAAAGCTGCAATTCACAATTAAAATGAGCACAGGTAAGCAGATGAGTTCCTTGTTGAGAATTAAAATTTCTTGTATCTTCTAAATTTACCCTCTTCAGGCTCTGAACAGATTACACAAATGACAGAAGGGTTAGATAAAGTATGATCATTGTTTAGTGATTTGGAATGTTACAGAGTAATTTAAATTTTTCTCTTCCAGAAGCCGAAAGAGTTTTCTGAGCATACTCAACTTATCATTTTAATAGCTGTTATTTTATTCTGTAGTTCTCTTTCTTGGCCAATTTATGCGTTTGCAAGTTACAACGATACTGGTACTACTCGGACCTTTTAAACAAATGTTTAAATGAAAATGGTTTATTCAAAATAATAATACTTAAGCAAGTAGCAATATGATAGTTCAATAGCAGAGTAGATAGTTCATAATAGCAGGTTGCCAAATTACTAAACTGTCTTCCAATGTTGAGGAGTAGATGGATGGCTCCAGTGGAGGTTGTTTCCAGATTATCTTCTCAGGTGCGGGTATTTTGATGCAAACAAACATGAGTAGAATGAAAATAGTGAGGGTTTATATACTTTTAAAGACAAAACTTAAAGAGTTCTGCTTTTGTAAACACTTTGATAAACTGGCAAATGATTGGAAAGGACAAATGCTATTAAGATAAAGCAAAAAATTTTCCTCTTTAAAAATAAAGACTCTTGTAAATTGTTTTCAGTAATTGACATGACTTCTTTTTTTTCTATTTAGTACTACTAAATCATTAATACAGTGATAATGCTAAAGAGTACTTTTTATCTTTATCTTTCATTTTATTCTTATTCCAATTAGGTAGATTTAAATACAATCCTTATCGTCATAATATTTAACATATATGTCATATGCTGAAGTAAGTGCTCCCTCTTGAAAAGCTTTCTTCAAATAGCATATATTACTACTTTTATGATATTTAAATGCTCTAAAAACAGAAACAAATAACAAGAAAAATTTAGTTTGTGCCTGTCTTTTCAAAAAAAGAAAAGAAACCTGCAAAGATTTTCAGTAGAATAAACTCTAAAACATTCTTCGATGTTGACCACACTTTTGTTATCAGATCCCCATATTTCAGAAATGTATGGTGTTGTTGCAGATACTGTACTTGAATATTTTTGAAAGTTTACAACTGTTAAAGTGAAAGAGGTTCAAAATCAATAGCCCTATAAAAAGAAAAGGAAAAGTAGTTTTATAAAGAGATTTGTGTTATATTATTTTGACATACTTGCATTCTGCATAATAGTTACATATATCCATGCATACTTTAATATCTTCTACAATTTTTGTATTTGTATTCCACTTTGGATGTACAAAATCAAGACTTTGATTAACACTACTTTCTTCATAAAGACTGTATTGTAATTCTAAACAAGCAAATAATTCTTTTTTAAAATAATCATAATTAATAATTAAATTATTTTTGGATAATTGTAGATTTGGTGGCAGATACATTCTCTCTGTATCTTTTTCTATCTATTTCTATTTCATAGGTATTCAGTTGGACTACCTGACACCCATGTTTGAAAAAGAAAGCAACTTTTTTGCTACTTACCTCTTTGAATTTTAACATAGACATTGTGGCTGAAAGAAATTTCTTTGCCATAGTATCCACTTTTCAGACTGCAAGTTTGATTGTTAGGATTATAATCAATTGCTCTGAGAAAATTGAAAAATATTATGGAATTGATTATTGTATTTTCTATAAATAACAAACTTGCAAAAATATTCCATATTGCAAATAGTTAAACATTCTTCAACTTTTTCAATATTTTGTGATAATTTCCACGCCCATTTTGTTGGTATAAGAGGTAAACTATGTTTAGTTATTGAGTTTTCATATAGCTTATACTGATCAAATATTCCTGAAAATGAAAAGGAAGGTTATATTTAAAAATTTTGTTACTATCTATAATCCTTTAAAATAGTTTAACCATTCCATTTGGCATTTTTATATGTAAATTATATTCTGGATTATCCTGGATTGATCACATACTTTTTGACATTGCTCAATATTTGTTCCATTTATAAATGTTGATTCAACAATTGGAGATTTTAATGAAGGCATACTAGGATTTGTGTCTGAATTCTCATAAACTAAATATTGACTTGCTGTGTGAGGAAGCAGAAAAATTAGGAATATCTTTGTTGTCCTTTTAAAATTATTATATTTATTTATTAGTATAAATAGCTAAAATTGATTTATATAGGTAAGATATTATTGAATAGGAATAATCTGTTTCAATAAAAATAAAAAACTATTGAAACCCTTTCAAAGTCCTATATCTTCCTCTACTGTTTTTTCATTTTTTTGATTTATCATTGTTTTTTTATTATACTTAAGCAAATATAATTGGTGAAATTGATTAATTGATTAATCATTCTTTACTTAAATATGTAATTTTTTATATAAAAGAAATAAATTATACAAATAAACAGTTGAGAAAATGTTCAGTCATAGGACATTTCAAGGTCCTGTACTTCCAACTGGAATCTGGTTTAGACAGCTTTGGATGATTAGTTATTGCTTTACGCGATTACTATATCCTTCTATTGCTTCTAGGTTTTTCAGTTGTTTTTTCAGCAATTTCATTTTCACCATTACTATTGATATCCTGAAAGTATTCTGCATCTAGAAAATTACACAAAATAATATCTTTACTTTGTATAAGCTGTGTTGTGAGTTCTTTATCACTTTTTTCTTTAGTAGATCTTTTAAATTATTTTTTGTTTCTTCCCTCACCAATGCTTGATGATCAGTCAGGTATATAGTATTTTCTCAAATTCCACATCCACAAGGGCCATCACCCACTTTACTATTCTCAAATTACGTTTGTTTTCAGCAAATGTCTGAACTAAGCTTTGGTGTTAAGTATATAAGAAAGACTTCTTTATCTATGGTACTATGAAAAAAATTTATGCTTTTACCATGTTGCTTTATCAAATTTTGTTGGAATATCGTAATCTTTGCAAAGTCCTTAATGAAATTTCTATAATATCCGAAAAAAGCAACAAAATTGAGTAATGTGTTGTCAAATAGAGATTTATATGATTCTTCGATCCTAATAATTATTCTTATCCAAATTTTTATTAATAGTCTCATTCCAGATTGTTCAAATGCTATTATTTTTTTACGCAAGGAACAAAGGCTAATTAGTTGGAGAGAGTTGGAGAGTTTCCTTTTGGTATTAGAGATTCTTGGGATTTTTGCTTCATTTTCAGAGAAGGATCCATCCAACCAAAGTAAAGAGTCTTTTCTGATTAATTTCATATTGGATGCTACATAGAATCCCAATTGCATTAAACAGCAAATTTAGTAAAGACTAAAGATAAGATTTAAAACATGAAAGAAGATGTTGAAAAGATGAAAAGTCAAGTTAAAAATATTGAAGCTTATATCTGAGAAGATTATTAAGTACCAGAAAAAGCAGTATACTGAAATAGAGAAAAAATATTTGAAATTTGGAAAATTATAGACTAGAAGGGCTTTTGGCTTATGAACTATTAGTTCAAATATCATATATTTATGCTATATAATATTCTTTTTTTTAAATGTTTTTATTTCACTTTTTTCATATTTTTATCTTTTATAATTAAGTGCTTTTTATTATCATTTTCTTTTTATTTTATATGCTTTTCTTAAATATTAATAAATGTAATTTCAAGGGTATGGGTTCACCCAAAAGGGATATTTTTTTGTACCCAGGTACAGTTTCATCCACTCCCGCATCAACTACCTCCAAAGTGTCTTTTGAATTTAATTGTTCCTGATGAGTCCTTGGTATTAAACACGAAGAGTGAACAATGTCTTCATCAACAGAAATGTTTGCTAAATCTTTCTTTGTAAATATTCGATTATCTTTAAGTGACAAATTGTAAATTCTCAAACCAGTTGATGAGGGAATCCTAATATAATTCCTCTTATATATTATGCTCATTAAATATAAATTATTTCTTATAAACTCCAATAAACTATCTTTTAAAAACCAGACAGTCATAATTCTAGAAGACAGCAGTAAAAAAGTCAAATGACTATATAAATGCTGAAGATTTCCACTTACTGTTAGTGTCGTATGTTTACATTGTTGTATTATTGTACACATTGAAAAAACCTGTATTTCACAGAAAATAGAAAAATTGATTGTAACAGATGGAGCACTGAAAACATACTGCTCAACATTCATTATTTTTCATTACTGGGTACTTGTTAACTAAATCTAATAGATTTAATTTAGATAAAACTTGCTATGTAGTAAGATTTTAACCTCATCACGGCAGGAAAGCACTAATTTTGCTCATTCGACTGGATTCTCATCTTTTTAAATTGGTTTGTATCCATAAACAGTGATTTCCACTATCATTAAAACATATTGATTGTTAATTGAGATATGTAAATTAAGCAAACGGAAATGTCAAAAGGCAAATCAAAGGGACGAACATCCAGACTAAGAAGAAAGCATGTAAAGAAAACCAAAACTACATCAAAGAGTGATGACAAACAAGCCATGATACATTGAGATATATGATAAGGTAAAGCAACTGCTGGGCGATCAGGAAATCCTGAATGATAGCATGCTAAACCACAAGACTTATCAAAGAGGTTGGAGGTTGGGTAATATTGCAATGTGTGAGAGCCAGATGAAGTGCAAAGGGAAGGTACACATCATAATAGAAAAGTTTCACTCTTTGTTGGGGAGTGTCAAAACTGACATTTGGTGTTATGGTTCTTGCGTCGAATGTACGATAGTATGAATCTTTTAGTGTGATATGAATGGTCTACGGTTCGCGATCTGTGGGCCATTGTTCTTGGTCGCGTACTGTGGTCGCGGACTGAGTGTTCTAGAATTCATCCCTTGAAACTTATCTATAAAAACATGTAACCCTAACCCAGACCCGAACCTTGTTTTAAGCACTTCATTGTTCCTAATCCCTAGTTTGGACCCACCTAATTACACATGACTGTTGAATGGCACATAAGAAGTGTATTTATTAGTAAACAATAAGAACATTCTTCAGGATTACTTACCATTCTAAAGAATTGTCAATTGTTAGTGAAGATTAAAGATTTATCATTTTTAGAATTATTCATTCTGAAATACGGAAGGGTAATTCTTTAGAAACATTTCAGATTATGAAAGATAAAGCAATCAATCAATTGGTAAAGTAAAGTGAGTGAGAAAACATTGACAAGATATATTGCAAAAATATCAGTAAACACATAGCATTGTGTAGGACTGTATGTTGGCAATGCAACACATTCATTTAAAAGAATTTCAGGAATTTTCAAAGTTGCTTATTCTTAAAACTCTGGTTTGTAGACTTTATTTCATCAATAGTTTATAATGAACACAAATAAAGACAATATATTGAAATGTTTGCATTAACACCGTGACTATTGTCAATTATCATTGTTATCATCGTGAAGAGAATTCTTAAATTTGTTTGTCCTTGACATAATTGTTAAAGATTAGTTTACATGTTAAAATATTTATGGAAATGAAGAGTTTTCTTTTTAAACAAGGAAAGATGTAAACATATATAAGACTATTGAAAAAGCTGTTTGAAGATGCCAACCAAAATAGAATGAATTTTAAAGTAGGAAACTTTGTCTTGAAATTTGAAAAAAACATTGTTAGAATTAAAAATGTGCTAAATGGTATCCATAGGATATAGAAAGAGCAAGATGTCAAAATAACAAGTCTAATAACCCTTAAATTTCTCTTTCCTACAGTATTTCTTCCTGTTGACAATCTCTTCTTCAATAAACTCTGTCTTTTTAGACATAAAACAATTTTGAATGATGAGTAGAGTATTATTCCTGATGCAAAAACTGGTCCAGCTGCAACATTAATAATTGTATGTAGGTTTAAATCTATTGGCTGACAACAGATCAGTTCACTTTCAAGAAAAGTATACTGTTCCAATCCAAGACTTTTTATTAGAGGTAAAGAGCTAAAGGTATAAAAGAACAACCAGAAAAAGCAAACTGCAAATTTAACTCTTTTGTAGGTAATAATGTTTTTATATCTGAGAAAATTAACAAGTTTAGTAAATAAATAAAGCAAATTGAATTTTGAAAATACCATACTTGAAACAATTTACCTGTTTGGATTTGTTACTGCAATGTAACGGTCAACTGTTGTTAGAGCTATTATCCATAGAGATATCATAGCACTTGAGGTGAATATCACCCCAAAAATTTCACAGTATACATATCCATACGTAAATTTACCAAGAATTGATGTCACAAATGATGTTGGTATAAAACAAATATTAAATATACAATCAACTATTGACATATTTATTAGAAGAACTTTTGATGTTGGTGGTATTTGTTTGATGTTTGAAAGGAACATCAATGCAGATAATGTTGATAAAATTGCCAAAAATACTGGAATTCCAATTATAATTGACCTTTCCGGATTTAAAATAGGGTGTTGAAGAGTGAAATTGAACAATTTATCATCGTCCATAACTGTTTAAAACATGACTTAAATTAAAAGATATAGCTAAATATCAAACATCTTCCTACCTTGACAATGTGAGAGTGAATAATTAAAATGGCTGACAATCTTTACTATAAACACCTTGTAGAGAACAAAGAGAGGACAAATGAGAAGAGTGACTAATTTATTAAAATTACCATATATAATATCTATACTCTAATCTCAATGAAAACTGACTGCAAAAGCGTTTGATCGTTCTCTCTGTCTCTCTCTTCCAACTGTGAAAATATTGCAGTACTTGTATTGTTAAAAGAGTCTATTACTAAAACCGATTTAATGTGTTTATCTTCTTGTCAAAAGAACATTAAAAATCCAATTATAGATTAAAGGTTAAATGTTGAACATTGTTTATTCAAGTTTTTTTCTTTTAGAACGAATTCATTCATAAGTTATTCACTCTTTTATTTGACAAGAAAAAAAAAATTAAAAGCTAATCTATAAAGTTCATTAATAATGAATTCATTCATTTCAGAGAAAAACTCTAAATACCAATATTGACCT